TGTGTGTGTGTGTGTGTGTGTGTGTGTTCGCGCACTTGAGATAAGTGTTTGTAAAGTGTTTTTGTGCTTTCATGAAATTTAGCTCAACCACATTCCACTTTGTCTGGCGTCGTCGTCGTCGACGCAGAGTCGCCATCAGCACCAACTGACACTGCAGCTTTAAAGGACCTCGTTTAAATCTGGAGTGATTTCTGCTCGGAATCGAAAACGCTACGACTCCAACAGCTTTGCTTGCTTTTATGCAATTATGTCCACAGCGAATCGATAAAAGAACACATACGCCAAGGGATCTTTCTCTTTCTCTTTGTTGGACCTCTGTTTGGGAGGCCAAGAGTGTTTTTTTTTTTTTTTCTTTGGGAGAAAGTCTAGATATGAAGTAAGTTTTATTTTATTAACTTAATAATAAAAAAAATATGGAAGCAATGTTTGACAATGCAAATGAGATGCAATGAACTGATAACATTTTGCAAGGTTTAGAACCTAAAAAAGAGATTTTTATGACAATTATATGATTCGCATAATCAAACTAACTGTTAAGTTAGACAAAAAAAGGAAGGAGGAAAAAAAACCCTGAAATGATTTTATTTATTAGGGGACAGAAAAAATACCTTTATGCCTATTTCTGAGAAATAATCACCCTCATTGGCAGCACCAATTGCCATCAAGTCTTTTGATATGTGCTTTACATCAATATGGAGGAATTTTGACCAACGCTACGTAGCAGAATTTCTTTAATCCGTCCAAAATATTATTCATTCAATCTGTTTTGAGCTACTGGTTTGAACTCAATTTCCTCTAAAACAATAAGTAATATTTCCAAATACTTATATATTATTAAAAAGAATGATTCTAAATCATAAGTGAGACTTCACTACACTTTGACACATTTTCTCAAGTTGCCAACTTTGCATTACGGCTTTATTCATAGAGTGAATACGCTCCTGTCTCATGTACTTCATATTAACGCTTTTGTCCAAAAAAAATCTCTTTGCGGTGCGAAGACTGAAAAGTGCTTCAAAATGTCAAGTTGATTACTGTTTGGGTCGTGCTTTAGAGCGCCGGTCAGCAACTCGGATGCAGAACTGC